GAACTGAGTTTTTTCCAGGTTTTCCGATAAGACGTTTAAACATCTCGATACAATTTGTCGTATGATTCACAGAAAAATAATTTGAATTATTCATCTAGAAAAAGAACAGGTTAAAATCGTTTTGTGTTAGCCCCACTATGTCTTCCCAACTGAGCAATGGTGAGAGGAAAAAGATCATTCAGGTTTTCAATGATGGTACCAGCATTCCTAATCTGGCTTCAAAGTCCATTCAAGAACCATCAAGTGAACGATGAATAAAAAGGAGCAGTAGAAAGTAATATTGGATCAGGAGGTCACAACAGCTAGTGGTTCATCATTTCAACTTATTGTTCACAGCAGAATGCAATAGTGTTATAATTTCGGAAAATTCCAATAAGATATCTTTAATCATTTCTAAGATACAACGGTTCAAAGCTCAATCTAACAATTGTACACTTTTGCTGTTATACGAATTGGATTTTATTGTTACACCTGGTATATATACAAAGAATTAATTGATTTGCATCCGTTGTCCGCATCACCAAAAACGAGGTCCTCTCTCGGACATCTCTCCCCGATATCGAAGTTACCATTCTTCTACATCGCCTCCACTCGGAGGATCACGTGTCCAGGATGCGTCCCACTTGACTTCCACGTATCATCCTGTTTGGAGAACTCGCCAACGGCAAGAGGCTTCGCGGAGGCCCAAAACGGCGCTTCAAAGATCACTTGAAAACATTTCTGACACAGGCCAACATAGACTCTGAGACCTAGGAAACCGTTGCTGCAAATCGGCCTTCCTGGCATAGGACCATCCCAGCGGGGTACTGAGACTTTCGAGTCCAACCGTCAACATGAAGAGGATCTGAAACGTTCTGCCAGGAAGGCCCGAGACGCGTCCACCACCCACACTCTCTTGCTCACGACTCACGTCCACCTCTGTAAGAAAAAAATCACCGTTTGATCCGATGTGCTTTAGTCCGCTCGACCACAGATAGCATCACATGTCAACATGGTTGCATTTATCCTTTTAAGGAATGCACTACGTCTCGTTCAGATTTCTACGAAAAAAATAACATTTGATGTAATAAAAATGTGAGATTAAATATAAATCCGTTAATTATTTAGAAATTGCTTTGTTTACGTTTTGGATACGAAATCAAACAGATATAGGTATCCATTTGAGGACCTTTTTTTCTCCAGGGTATACCACTTTTTAGTGTTACCAGGGACAAGCCTAGATTTAGGCTTTATGAAACGTAAAGATGTGAGTCGTGCCAATTATTAAGACTAGGAACGATCCAGAAAAGCTGAGTAAAAAGACTGAAGAGATTAACAATTCGAAATCCTACAGACCACAGTACTACTAAAGACATCTAAAATAATGAAAAGAATGTTGGATTATTGAGAGAAATTTGTCTGTCACTCAATTACCAATAAAAGCCAGCAGTTGTTACTATTGCTAAAATTCGTAAAATGGAAGAGCACAGATCGTAACAAATCGTGTAATGAAGTGTTTAATGGACACGCTTCTAGTTCATTTCATATTAATTCCCGACCCCCCCCCACGGAGCTCTATCTTCGGATCTACAATGTCTCTGATCTTCATCAACAACTTTCTGTGCAGATGACGCAACTATTTACTACTGTCTTAGTAGCAAATCTAACAGATCCGACAAATTAAAACAGATAACTGCTCTCGAAAATGACAAAATTAACTGAATCAAAGAAAATAGCTTGTAAATTTTAACGCCTCCCCACCACCTCAAAAAAACTACTTTTATATTAAAGAACCTTTTCTGCCTGCCATCAGCATGGCTGATGCTAATCTCCAGGAGAGCAACTCTTTGCGCCATCTTGAACAAGCGTTTTCCACTGTCGTGAAGTGAAGCCATTACAGTAAATCAATAGCTAGGGCTACTGCTAGGAAAGATGGTTCTTGTCAGAATCCCTCCTGTACATTTATAAATGTTCTATTCGTTACTGCATTGAATATTGCTGTCATATCTGGTCTGGGACTCCTGCTGTATAGCTCGAGATTGTTGACAAAATTCAAAGAATGGCCTGCAATGTAATCGATCCTGACTTGGTATCTCAACTTCAGTCACTTTATCACCGACGTGGCGTGGCTTCTCTTTATCTTTTCTACAAATATTTTCATGGTAATTTTTCTGGCGAGCTGTTCTCCTTAGTGTCTAGACTGTATGAATTTAAGCGTGCTACTTGATTGGCAAGTAGGTCCCACCATTTTACTGTTGGACTAGCAACAGGCAAACGTCAGTTCTATTTTAACGGTTTCTTTCTTCGCACTTCTCACCTTCCTATTTCTTGCTTCCCTGTAAACTACAATCTTCAAAAAGTTATATGCAACGCTAGCCGCCATCTTCTATCTTCCTGAATACTCATATTTTGCTGTCGTTTCTCCTCATTTCTCCTCGCTAAATTCTTTTATTTCACTCCCTGTTTTAGTGGCATTATTACCTTGCCTGGAGTGAAATTATTTTTTATCTTTCGTTAAACAATCCCATTATTTTTTGTTGTCTCAGTCCCTTTGCTGTCCTTCTCAAACTGTCCATGAAGCGGCCATTGCCCCTCTTGTTTTTAACTTCTCTGTCAGTACCCTCTTCCTGTATTTTCTTTCTTCTCAATGCTTTCTTTTATCAGGTTTTTGAATTTCACCATATACTTTAGGAGCGTACTAGCGACTGACTCCCCCCTGCTGCTTTGCTTCATCATGATTACAATGCACTTCACTATCCTAAACTCCATGCTAACGTACTTGGAGTAGATATTCACTGTTTGCACTAATGAATCAATCCAATTCCCACTATTGGCAAGGAATTTGATCATCCACACACACACAAACACATATATGTATGTATGTATGTATGTATGTATGTATGTATATATATATATATATATATATATATATATATATATATATATATATATATATATATATATATATATATATATATATATATATATATATATATATATATATATATATATATATATATACCTTTTTTATCGACTTAGGTTATAAGCATACCATAGAGCCTGTACTTGTCCAAATTCGTTTGTTGATAGATTTCTTCTGGACAGAATTGGTATACAGGGTTTGTCTTGGGCAGATGTCAGTCAATTTTCCAGTCTTGCGTTTCAGTTTATATTTCTTTAAACAATTTCATGAATCTTTTGTCTTAATTGTTTTGGTGTCACTATGTCAAATTGTCCATGAAGGACAAAGGTCATTGTTTCTTTTTCTTTTTAACTTTTCTTTCAGCCCCTTCTTACTGTATTCTTCTTTGACCTCGATGCTTTCTTTTACAAGTTTTTTTTTTAATTATTATTTTAGCCATAAAGAGTGTCTCTTCAATGATTACGAAGTACCAGTCCAATGACATACGCTCACTCTCTACACACTGTTCAATGCTGATAAGTCATCTACCTCCTTCTTTTCATGGGGTGCGTAATCTTACCAAACTTGACTTTACGTGCAGTCCAAAATTCTCAAAAAGCATTGTCCAGGTTGTTTTCTCCAGTTTGCAACTCCTCATTTGTCCGCTTAGCTATTCGTTCGCTAAACTTTACCATAGGTACAGATCAGGTATTAAGATTACGAACATTCAACTTGGACTTCAAATTTAGGAAGTATGAACTTGAAGTCAAACAGAAATGATACTGTCACAAAATAGAAAAGGTCATCGAAAACGACCAAGTCAAAATTTTGTGGGAAATATCAAAATCCAAGCAGACCCTTCATCGATGTGGCTGTTCCTGTTGACAATAATATCAAGTTCAAAGAAATTGGAATGCTTAAAAAGTACACTAACCTCCGGATTGATTTTGCCAGAATTGGAACGGTCAGGCCGCTATTGTTTTAGTTATCATTGGATTGTTGTGGTCTATACCACCGAAGCTAAAAAGCTACATTAAGAAAATCGAAATAAAACTTAGCATCACATCGCTTCAGAAGTCTGCGTTGGATAACACTGCAAATATTCTACGAAAGGTGATATTTGTTTGAGGTCGGACGACTTGATGAAGAACACCCAGAATGCAAGATCTCTGGTTGAAAACAAAACACCCTGCGAACGAAGAGAAGAAAACAAAATAATAATAATAATAATAATAATAATGAAGAAGAAGAAGAAGAAGAATACGGAAAATATCATTACTAAAAGTGTCGAGTGAGAATACTTGCTGTTACATAATCTCCCGTGGGAGCCATCCGATAAAACTGGTTCAAAAATTCAAGGAGTACATAATAATAATAATAATAATAATAATTGAAACTTCAGCAGAGAAGAAAAAAAAACTATTATTAGAACAAAGCGGTTTGTGATTGACTTAATTACATCAAATATTGAGCATTAAATATCCATTTAGTCGATAACACGATATGATTAAAGACGCGGGAAAAGATGAAAAGTGTCGTGAGAAGTGGAACGGGCGGAAGTTAATTTTGACGACCGGAAGTTAAGGTCAATTCATGGGGAGAGCCAGAGTGTTCAAATATCGCCATAGTTTCCATTTAAGAAAGAAAGAAAGAAAAAAAGAATTAGAATGGATGAGAAAGAGAAAGGAAATGAAGAAATATTAAATGTGAAAAAAGGGAATGAAACATTTATTGACAGCAGAATGTAATTAATGAGTGAAAAAATGATAAGCAATCAAGAATGACAGAATAATGGAGAAATTGAAGAATTCGTCTGGGAATTATCACACTTTTTTTTATTTTTCTGTTTATTTTTTAAAGAAAACAAGAAAGAAAGAAACTAAAAAGAAAAAAACTAAAAACGAAAGAAAAAATAAAGATAGAAAGAAAGACACTAGAAAAGAAGGACATTAAAAAAGAAAGAAGGAAGGAAAGGAAAAAGCGAAATGAAAAAGAAAGCATATGTGTTAAGGGATAAAAAAATACTCAAAACAAAAATAATGAGATGAATACGGAACAGAAAATTAAATAAAGGAAAAGAAAGACGAAACATAAAATGTCCAAGAAAAAAAGGAAGAGGTTAAAAGAAGGTGAAAGAAAACAGATGCTGACAGACGATACGAAGATGATGAGAAGTTAAAAAAGAAAAGGAATAAGGCGGAAACATAATAAAACAAAAATTGAAATAACAAACAAGAAAGAAAGAAAGAAAGAAAGAAAGAAAGAAAGAAAGAAAGAAAGAAAGAAAGAATATCGATTGATCAGAATCTAAAATAAAATATCATTCCCGCCAAATGAGGTGATCCAACCAACCCCAGTCCTTTTCCTGCCACCCTGGTAAAGGCCCCAACGCTTAGTCACTAAGCCGCTTTAAAACTATTTTCAAAGTAAAATGGTTGCCTCCCCCGCCCTGATCCAGTGCCGAAAAGCCGAAAAGATTAAAAACACGTGACCTCAAGCGTGGAGCGAACTCCTTAATAGATTCAACATGGCCGACTGGGTTATTGTGCACTTGATGAACTCCTTAATCTCTTCTGTTTCATTCGTAACCTTTGACCTAACATCCAGCACGACCAAAGCCAAAGCCAAAAGACCTCATAACACACCAACATTTGTCCCCGGCTAATTCTCCGCTTCCTCATCCTCTTACTTGATGCATATAATATATGTGCGTATGCACATACACACACACACACACACACACACACACACACACACACACACACACACACACACACATATATATATATATATATATATATATATATATATATATATATATATATATATATATATATATCAGCGAGTTTTTTGTAATCAAATTCGCTCCAAACAAGGCAGTAAAGCCACTGTGAAACAAGAGGTTACTGGGTGTGGAAGAATTAGAAAACAGAAGCATTATTAAGGAGAAAGAACTAAAGAAGAGTGATCAAGAGAATATCAGATTGGGATTCACATTGCATATATATTTTTTTGCAGATTAAAGTTAGCTGGAACGCATGGAAGACAGAAGGGAGAAGGCCGAGAAAAGAAACTGTTAGCATAGAACTTACGGTTACATCAAGCCAACTCAACTGTAAATCGATGCGACCTCGTCGCTAGTTTAGTACTGCACTTAAATTCATAAAGTCTATTAACCCTAATGAAGTGCGATATTTATTTCGCAATAAATACAAAAATGTGACACAAGGCCAAAAAGAGGAGATAGGGAAGGCTGGTCTTCTACTGTCTGATAACCTAGCTAGTCTTGATTGACCTAAACATACCAAAACAACACATTCTTACTTACGATTCTTACTACAGCCACCATAATATTTCAGAATCTCCATGAAGTCGTTAACTAGTCCCCATATGTACAATTCTTGTCTGTGTGTGTGTAAACAACAACTTAAAAATCTAAACCCCCAAAACCCTTGCGGAGAGCTCATACGTACAATTAGCATGAAAGTATTTTACAGCAAATTCAGAGAGAGGCAATTTTCAGGCGTCTGGAAAGTGACTGAAGCCGAGACGCCAGGGCAGGTTCAATAATATTGCTGATTTTAGATTTTGTCGAGGATCTCTAGATATATAGTAAGAGCACTGGAGTATATGCGGCAGCAATATTCAAGGCATGAACATGAAAAATCTCTTAATTTACACAATATTTTTTCAACATAATCTCTTTGCACTTACGTGAGAACATCTCTATAAATGTGTGTGTGTATATATATATATATATATATGGTTTCATTAAATTCAACCAACAAGGTGTGTCGGTTTAATTTTCTATTGTATCTATGTTACAAAAAAAAATTTAATTTAGTAATGCTTTATTGATTGAATTCTTGATACTTTGCTACAACTATAGAGGTTCGAATCCTGCCGAAAGTGCTTATTTCTCTACTATGATTTTTCGAATATTCAGGCCAGTAAACGTAAATAAATAATTATACTGTTTGATAAATAAATGGAACGTCTATTCAAATACGAGTATCCAATAATAATAATATTTAAGTAATAAAAACTTGTCGGATTAGTTAAAAATAAAAAAATCCATTCCTTGCTTTGAGAAATTACTTTGTTTACGTTTCGGAAACTAAACTGATCAGATATTTTTATATCGAGAATCGGAGGAAGATCTTGTGTTTGCTTGGCTATCGACGCACTCTGTAGCCGAGAGATCAAAGCACACAAGTTTTAATGATGGATTCAGCAAGGGAAACGCAGGTTCGAATCCTGTTTTCTACTAAGATTTCTCGAATATTCAGGCCGGTAGACGAAAATAAATACTGTTTAATAAATTAACGGAGCGTCTACTCAAATACGAGTATGCACTAAAAATAACATTTAAGTAATAAAAATACATATACATATATATGTGTGTGTGTGTGTGTGTGTGTGTGTGTGTGTGTGTGTGTGTGTGTGTTTATATATATATATATATATATATATATATCGAGACTTTTATCATACAGTCTCAGTTACGGTGGACTGGTCATGTCTTGAGAATGTCTGATGACCGGATACCCAAGATCCTAATGTACAGCCAGTTAGATCAGGGCTACAGGAATGTAGGACGCCCATGGCTAAGATACAAAGACAATCTGCAAAAGCAGATTGTCAGCAGTCAATATACCACATAACACCCTTGAGCGCTTAGCCTTGGAGCGGGTAGAATGGAGATCAACGTGTTTTAGTGGACTCAGCAATTTTCAATCTGCTTGTCTGAATCATCTTCAAGAAGCGAGAGCAAGATCTAAAAGGTCAGCCAATCTAACAGCGATCTCATCTCACAATCCTCACACTCTATATGTGGCCTCCTTTGTAAATCATTAGCGGGTCTTAAATGCCACTTAAGATTATCGCACAAAATTTCATAACTGAATCAATAAGCTGTCAGATCCTCATACGTCGAAACCGACAGGAGAGTCCATTATATATATATATATATATATATATATATATATATATATATATATATATATATATACAGAGAGAGAGAGAGTGAAAGAGAGAGAACCAAGTGATAAACTGTACATTGTAAATGTATGTACACATAGAAAATGTGTTAGTTCCCTACATATATAGCTACGAATAGCTAGGAATAGTCCATTATTATTATTATGGGTAAGTTCCCATAGCGCACACACACACACACACACACACACACATATATATATATATATATATATATATATATATATATATATATATATATATCAACAATTTATAAAAGCTCGATATGTTTCTCCAATGAACCGATAACATGGCTTGATAAAAAAAATTTTATTTCCCAACATTAATATTAATCATAGGACGGCATCTTTTTAATTGTATCGTATTAGAAATTAGATTTTAATAAATTTAATTTTCAAAAAATTATTTTTATATTTTAATCATGATTTGCATATCCCATATTGTTTTCTGTATTAATTTAATACGACCAGGCGATTGTTTTTTTATTGTATCATTTTATCGGATTCACATCCATATTTGATCCCAATTCATGTATATAAAGTATATTTAAGCAACAAGTATTCTTTCAAACATTTTTATTCAAATTCAACCACGATATGTCTGTTTTTTAGCTTGAAGTGTGTATTATATATATATATATATATATATATATATCCCGGCTTGTTGAAGCAATCGGGTGTCTATGCCTATGTTACGCTCTCGCCATTTCGATCGAGCACTATTGAGAAAAAGAAATTTCAAAACAACGCCATTAATGTACCGCTCTTCATTAATGAATTGAGCACTCTGGCTGCTGGCGTTTGAATACATTTGTATATAATACGTTAAAATTTCCCTTTCTCCGCCGTGAATCTCTGGTAGGCTCTCCAACTGATACCAAATCGGTCAGTTTCGATCCCGGCATGAATCAATCGGATGTCTAGCTACGCCGATAAGCTGTGATACGCCGAAAAAAGCTTGTATGTGTTTGACTATATATATATATATATATATATATATATATATATATATTAATACTAAAAGATACATAGCTGATGCATTCTTTTTGGCGTGGTTTCGCTCCCTTTCACGTATCCTTTCATTTTCGTCTGATACAAACTTTCAGCTCCCTATAAAATACCAAGATGTAACCAACAGAATCTTGCCTACCACACTCGCAGCACAAGTTTCTTGTTAATTATTGAGAAGGCCGAAAGTACTTGAGCAAAACCAACAAAACAATCATGAACTTCGCACACTATATTCAACATTTTGATTCTGATATGCAACATTTTATGGGAAAATTGGAAAAATACAATAAACAATTAAACAGATAGATTTTGTCGGTTGAACTGAATAAAACATTTTGGAACATATATATATATATGTGTATGTGTGTGTGAAAAGTGTGTATACATATATATATATATAAAGTGTGTGTGTATATATATATATATATATATATATATATATATATATATATATATAAAGATGAAAAATTAACCTACCACCAATAATAAAGATGTAATGTACCGTGAAGTCCCCCGTTTTGAATTCAGAGTTTTCTTTATCTAATCTGCCAACCAAGACAAGAAAAATCAAATTTCTTGTCTCATACTTTTGAAAAATTAACTGTTTTTTTTTGTTTTTTTTTTTTTTGTTTTTTTTTTTATGCCATATCCCTTCAGGACTTAGGTGATTCCCACTCTCCACAGATCACTTTTTCTCTTATTATTTATGAATTATCATTATTACCAAGTGGAAGGGTTTCCCGTTGTCTTTTTCAAACTTTATAATTCTGAGTTTTTCTTCTCTTTGAACGGTTATCACATAAGGCTAGAGAGCACACTCTATCCATTTATTTAATCCATATCTGGCGGGAGATAAAACACATGGATTCATGCCTTTCGCAATGGTATTTGTACGTAAAAGACTAGCCCAGAATTCGAACTCTACTCATCAGTTCCACTTTCCGTGCCGATATCCGTTGCACTACATCCCCAAATCTCGAGAAACTGGGAAACACACTACCTCTCCACATACCCAACAAGAGCTCTACCATTAGAAATAATTCTCCATATAAATTAGCTATACGCCTTGAAAAAAAAAAATTAAAAAATGTAAGAAAAGCGATTTTCATTATGAAAATCCGTTTATATCACTGACCACACAGTGAAAGGTCTGAGGAATGCTTTTAACGCCATATTCTGAAAGTATATAACTTTTTCTTTGTTTTTAATTCTTTTTCAATCCAGTTTTTGCAATGTCAAGTACTCATTGTTGCCTCTGTCGCGAATCTTATGGTCTAACTCTTTGTGGACGGGTGATTTTGCGGGCCACTGAACATGGGTTTTCTTAATAACATTGGAGCGTCTATTACTTTATTTAACTTCCATTTGGCCACCCTGTAGATGGCTGACAGCGGGGAAAGTAGGAAAATGTTTTGCGATATAAACGTTTATACATGAAAAATATATATATGTGTGTGTGTCTGTATAGAGACATGGGCGTGTGAAGTATTCGTTGTAGTATTAGTGAGGAGGATAGGTTGTTAGAGGATATCGCCACACACCGAGTTAGCCAGTCAAATTGAAAAATACTTTGTTGCATTCATTGGTAGTGATTTCGTAACAAATGGGACTGAGAAAGAAAGAAAGAAAAATAGATAGATAGATAGATAGATAGATAGATAGATAGATAGATAGATAGATAGAAAGAAAGAAAGAAAGTAAGAAAAAGTTGGATAAATAGATAGATTGAGATAAATATAGATAGAAAGAAAAAGATAGATACAAAAAAAGATAGATAGATAGATAGATAGATAGATAGATAGATAGATAGATAGATAGAAAAAATAAAAAAGAAAGAAAGAAAAAAGTTACATAGATAGATTTTTTTTTTTTTTTTTTTAAGCATTTCACCCCAAGCAAGGCGGGGAGCCACTAGGACGCAAGGGGTTACAGAAAATAGGAAGATCAGATAGGAGTGATAGAAGAAAGGATGAGGGTAGTAGATAGATTAAGGCAACTGGAGATGTCGATTGACATTACACTTGAATAGCTGGAGATTATAACTCTCAGGGAAACAGGAGAAGGGAAGAGAGTTCCACAGGCGAGAGGTGCGAGACATGAAGCTATTAGAGTAGTAGAGACGGCTACATTTATGAGTTTCGACAGTGAAGGGGTGAGCGGGATGCCAGCCTCGTAGGGCGCTTGAACTCATGAAGTTTGGGAACCAGCGAATGCAGTTCCTCGGAGCAATTTCCATGAAAGTATTTGTAGAACAGACAGAGGGAGGCGACGGTGCGTCTGTGAGAAAGTGACTGTAGACGAGACGCCAGGGTAGGACCAACCATATTACATATCCGCCTCTGGAGCCTATCAAGAACCCTGAGGCAAACAGAAGGGCGCCAGACCATATATGGCAGCAATACTCCATGCAAGGGCGAATTGTGGATTTGTATATCTGGAGGATCGACTCAGGGAGAAAAACTTCCTAGCACGGCTCAGGGAGCCAACTTTCCTCGCAGTGGACGAGGCAATTGACTCGATGTATTTATTCCATCTCAGGTCAGCAGTCAACGTGAGACCGAGAAGCCGCAGAGAGTTGCTCTCGGGAAGTTGAGCGTCAGACATTATAATGGAGGGAAGGGAAGGCTCTCTGTGGTGATTAATAGAGAGCAGTTTAGTCTTCGAAGCGTTGAAGTTGACCAGCCAAATCTTGCCCCAGTTCACAATCGATTGGAGGTCCTTTTCGAGGCGCACGGCAAGGTGAGTTTTGTCAGCGAGACTGGATTTGTTTTTGAGGCAGGAATAAATTGTGGTGTCATCCGCGTAGATGCCGACTTGAGAAGTTACGGCGTCAGGAAGGTCATTTATATAGATAAGGAATAGAGTGGGGCCTAGGATGGAGCCTTGAGGAACTCCTGCGTTCGTGGGGTAGGAACTGGAGGAGAATCCGTTGTGAACGACCTTCAATTCACGGTTTGACAGGAATGATTGTATTACGTTATATAATTGACCCGTAATGCCATAACCCTGGATCTTGCGGAGAAAGGCCGGCGTGCCAAACCCTATCAAATGCTTTGGAGATATCTAGTGCCACGGCTCGGGCTTCCCCGTTATTTTGGAGAGTTCGGTAGACTGTTTCCGTGATGGCTGTGAGCACATCGGCTGTAGATCTGGCAAAGCGGAAACCATATTGCTTGTCTGAGAGCAGATTATTGGATGTGAGGTGGTTAACCACCCCGGTATTGATTAGAGCTTCGAAGATTTTGCCGAAGAGGGGAAGGAGACGGACGGTAGTTGGAAGGGTCAGAGGGGTCGCCGGAGTTCTTGAAGACAGGAACAATCGAAGAGGACTTCCAGCAGTCAGGAAAACAAGATTCCTTGAGGCAGTAGTTGTATAGTTTCGAAAGGGCGGGCGCCAGTTCAGGCGCGCATTTCTTTAAGACAATGGCTGGTATCCCATCTCCACCACTCGCCTTGTTGAGATCTAAATTGGAGATAACGCCCAGTACCAAGGTTGGGGTTATGTTTAACCCACTCAATATGGCCTCAGTTCTAAGAGGAAAGTCGGGTATGGGTACACCAGAAGAGTCGAGCGTCGAGTTGGATGAAAATTTCCGAGCAAAGCCTTGTCGGTAGAGGAGGTCAAGACTTCGAACTGGTTGAATAGAGGAGGTATAGAGGGTTTGCACTTATTCAATACACTCTTGCAGAGACGCCAATAATCTTTGGAGCCAAATTTGCGAGATGCAATACGTTCCTTCATTCGAGCCGCAAATAGTGACTTAGCATCATTTAGGACACGCTTACAATCGTTACGGGCGGCAGCAAAGAGACGTCTATTGCAGTCAGACATGTCGCTACGGTATAGGTGGAAGTAGTGGTTCCTATGGGCGATGGCGGCTGAGCAAGCAGCCGAAAACCAGGGGCAGGAGCGCGTCTTAACCCTATATTTCCTTGATGGGATGAAAGCGTCAATTCCAGCTTTACCCCAGGAAGAGACCTCAGAAGCACATTCTTGGACGGGAGCTTAAAGACTCCATCCCAGGGGACATCGCGGAGGAAATCACGGAACGCGTCCCAGTCAGCTCGTTGATAATAGAACGAAGTTCTAGTGGTAGGAGGTTCTTTATAGGGGAGGAGTTAAAGGAGATGTTAACCGATACTACTGCATGGTCAGAGTTACCAAGTGGGCATAGTTGCGAGGCGCTGCAGGATTCGGGGATGGAGGTAAAAGCACAGGTCAGTAGAGAGGCTTTGCTTACCCGGTTGAGGGCAAAACGAGTGGGGAAGTTAACTATCTGTGTGAGGGAATGGGAGATTGAAAATTAAGCGTTTGAATGCCTGCATGGTCAGTAGTAGCATTCTTAAGCCACAGAGTGTGATGGGCGTTAAAGTCTCCAAACACAAAAATGTGAGCAAACGGGTGGAGGGAGAGAGCCTTGTCTATGTTGTCTGAAATGCTATCAAGTATCTCACAGTCTTGAGAGGATGGAGAGCGGTAAAGGAAGAAGAGATAGCTTACCGCATTGAGGAGAGAGAGACGGAGACACATGTACGACTGGTCAGGCGATTCAAGAGAGGACTCTCTGGCCAGGGGGAGATGTTCCTTGACGTAGACACCAAGACCGTGCATGTGGGTTAGAGATTCTTTTCTGAGGAGAGGAAGATAGCCGGGGATCGAGAGATCAGAAGAGGGGATAGATGAGACAAGGTTTGTCTCGCAGAGAGCCAGTACATCCGGGCCGTTTGCAGTGAGGAAAGATTCCAGACTGTAGAAGTTTGTTCTAATGCCCCGGATGTTGGAGAATGAAATGTTGAGGGGGTTTAGGTGGTTTCTGAGATGCTGGTTTAGGGTAAATCTTTCGGTTTTGTAACTCATGTTGGATTTATTTGCAAAGATGAGAAGGCCTGAGGTAAGAGAAAACAGACAGTTTCGACCGTGACGCGGGCAGAGAGGAGTTGGCAAAATCCGCATCATTATGTGGCCTCAGGGCTGCCCACCGGAGGTGACTGCAGGGACACCTTTCCACGCGCGACATGGCACTACAAACACCCCGGTATTATACAACTGTTGATCAGAGCAGCCGCTCAAGACGCTACGCAAGAGTTAGGGCTCCTAACTACCAGTCGGAAACAGCAACCAGAGAACTGTCAGCCGTGTACCCTCAGAATGAAGAGATGTTGCCACAGACTGCACGCATCACGGGAGAAACAGACCTGCACTAATACAGAGGCCGGAGAGAGAAGACAGAACCGGGAACCCCATCCTAGACAAGAAACAAGGTGTAAGCCTCTACTCATGTCCAATAGAAGTGGGAGGAGTGTTGACCGGGCGGTAGAAGGGACTACCTACTCCTATTAGAAGGGACTACCTACTCCTATTAAATAGATATAAATAAAGATAGAAAGAAAATGATAGATAGATAGATAGATAGATAGAAAGAAAAAGATAGATACAAAAAGAAAGAAAGAAAGAAAGAAAGAAAGAAAGAAAGAAAGAAAGAAAGAAAGAAAGAAAGAAAAAGTTAGATAAATAGATAGAGATAAATAAAGATAGAAAGAAAAAGATAGATACAAAGGTAGATAGGTAGGTAGGAAGGTAGATAGATAGATAGATAGATAGATAGATAGATAGAAAAAGAGATACAAAAAAGAAAGTAAGATAGATAGATAGATAGATAGATAGATAGATAAAAAGAAAGAAAAAAGAACAAACTAATGCGTAAAGAAAGTGAACTGTAGAAACAAAGGTAAAGAAAGAGAAATAAATAGAGAATGCCAGATCAATGATAACTACAGATAGACACATGTATAATTACATCCAGAACGAGTTAAAAATAAGGTCTACAATTCTGGGAAGCCATATTGTTAATATTTGTCTTGCAGGTTATTAATTTTCTTCATTAATTCTTTTTCTTTCGCAGGTTATTACTGACAATTTGAAAAGTTAGTGAATCTGCCCACCCCCCAAAAAATGAGCCAAGAATGACCTTTCAAGATTTCTTTTTTTTTTTGATGATTCATAAAAAAAACCTTTTCATCATGAAAAGTCCCGTACCATTCAGAAATTAAATGCTCAGATCAAATCAAAATTTGTGGAAATAGATTCCTAACTTTGCGAGCATGTATACCACTCTATGCCAGCTCAGCTGTAAAAATACATTGATCACGAGCGAAAGCATTTTGAACATTGCAAGTCAAAGAGCTTGGTACGGGGGAAATAAATGAGTATCAACTGAAAGCTGTAAAAACAGAAATCGGACATCATCGTGTATAATCTTCAAGAAATAAAGAGGTGCAAGATTACAGGCAAGACTTACTGCCACTTGATTTTCTGTCAAAGTTATCAGGTAACTACGGGTGGCGAGACTCATAATTTATCTGTCTATAACATTTTAAAACTATTTGATGTCACAGGAAGCTAAGATGTTCCTCATCATGTTCATCATCATTCTATTCTATAATCGGGTGTGGTTGCATTTGCTGTGCAAACTGAGCACTTGACTAGTTCCCTCCACGTATCAGTTGGAGAAGTATTCATGCGCAGCGTGTAGACTTAATGGAGCCAATTCCTTTCCAGATCAAACCACAGCCGATGTCCTCCAATTGATTGCACCAGGGAAACCCTCCGCTTTTACTATTCACTTATATTTAATTTGCTACAGAATTTAATAAACATGAAACCATTGTTGAATATGAAGTTGGCTATCACGCCAATGATCCTTTTAAAGCGTGAAATGATGCCAAAGACTTTTTCTAAAAAAAATGGACGAACTGAATACCTGAGGAAGAAACCAATCTAAAGACAACATTGTTCAAAGCAGTAAGTTTACGAGGTTTGTCCAAAAATAATCCAGACACTTAGCAAAATATGACCCACCGCCTTATTGCCTTCAAAGAATTCCCCAGTGAGACTCACCTATTTATCTCAGCGTCATTTTCCACTTCATAAATAGTCGGCAAAGTCCTTTGTAGGAATAACGTTCAGATTTACTCCTCTACGGTTTGACGTATCCTCCTTTCCAAAAAACGATAGTAAGAAGCTGAATGGAAATAAATCGGGACTGTATGGGTACTGGAATATAATGAAGAACCCACAAGCGGTGCTTTACCAAAATTCCCTGCACATGACTGATTGCTCTGTCATAGAAAATGCGACGGTCACACGATCGCACTTGACACGAGAGTATCTGTTTATACCGGTTTCCAAGTCAAAGTAGGGCAAACGGTATTTTAGATATTAAAGAAGGCTGGATACTTTTCGTACATATTGCAAAAGAATTGCTATCACGTGATTATCAGTGAGAGCCACTAATGTCTATGGATGAAAAACCAGAAATAATAAAAAGAAGAAATTAGAATATCATTCTAGATCAAAATAAACAGGCTTAACTATAAAATTTTAAACACGTCATCAATCGCGCCTAAAATCCAACCTTCTTCGACAAAGTAAACAATGTTAGGATCAACTTAATATCGCCAACGATCGATAGTGAATTTATTTCATCACAATGAAAAGAATTGGGATCACTGAATTTGACAATGCATTTTCGACATGGTCTGCACTGATGTACACCTGTATGTGCATCTAAGAAGCTAAAGAAGTGTTACTGATAGCGCACAGTTGTGTTGAAAAGAGAGGATTAGATAGGATCTCGATGTCTATATCAGCTATTTGTGAATGATGTGTGTTGTTCTATAACCAGATAGGCATCTTTCTGTGCATCAGTGTTTCAATGTTTGACGCAATATTTTCAAATCACGAAAATGATATTCTACCATGATGTTCTGACCGAGTTACAAGAGGCTCTGATGCTGTGTGTCATACTTTTTCAATTTTACTCCTAGAGGACGTAGCCCAACATATGATACCATTTAGGAATCAGGCCGACTCCGTGAGTAAATTAAAAACACTTCGGGTCGGATCCGGACCCGCAATCCTGAAATTTTGGATTCCCAAGTTTTTATTATTGCTATTATTTTCGCATTCCGCCATATTTGGCATCAACTGATAAAAATGATTAAAGGGACATAACTCTCTAATTTTCAATAGCTCATATTCAAATTAAAAAAATTACTATTCTCAAATTACAGTGGTTTAAAATAAAATTCTCCGTGTTTTCAACTTTACTCCTAGAGGCCGCAGTCCAACATAGCATACCATTCTGGAATCAAGCCGACACTGTGAGCAAATTTAAAACATTCTGGGCCGGATGAGAACAAGCAATTCTGAAATATTGGATTCCAAAGTTTTCATTATTCCGATTGTTTCCGGTGATTTTTTTATATGATTTTTTGCGACGAAATTTTTCTACAACAAATAACTTGGAAATAATTTGGGAATAATCGAAATTAATTCCGAAATCCGGCGAAAGTCACACATGAAATAAAAATAATTCTTTTGTACGGAAAGTAAGGACCTACGTACATAAAATTGTTTTTAAATTAAGTGGCGGCAAAAGAATTATCGTTAAACTTTTAAAAGGTAAGCTTAAACATTAATGCAATGCGGTGATCAATTTTCAATTATTCTGTAGTTTATCGCATCTACTCCACCCTACCTATTGTGATGAAGGACTAATCAAGAGTCTTCTGCAGAAGCTAGCTTAAATGCCACCCGATAGGGCGGCTTTTAAGATGGTAAAGATATATTTTGAAAAATAAATGAATGCACGACACTTCAACCCACTGTTAGCGGAAACACCGGTTCTTGTATAATCACCAAAGTTAAGCAACGTCGAGCCTGGTCAGTACCTAGAGGAGTAACCGCTTGGGAGAGCAGGTACTGTAAGCTTGGATATGGGGGTTGTGTAAGGGATAATGGCTCGCTATTGGAAGTCGGAGAGCCGAGTTCCAATTCTAGTCGGTTTCATTATATTCGCTGACTTACAAATAAGGAAAGGTATGAAGCCACTTTTTTCCCACCACATATGTGTTAATTAGTAGGACATCTATAAATAAATCGTTACTATATCTCCAAAACATTCTTACAATCTAAAAATATTTTCTGGCTTTAAATAACCTACAAAAGCCGTAAAAAAATCAAGCAGTCAACTGTTAGCACACAGTCAAGAAAAGGGTAAATTTTAAACGAACAAGTATATTGCAGCAAGTGTGAAAGCACACAAACTGCTGATCATCAATCAACTCATTGGGGTAATATCGTCTGAATTGTCTTTCCTTTAGTGATTTCTAGCAGATGACTTCCGATTTGTTGTTTAATCTGTTGTTTGTTTCTGGATTAGGCTCCATGGCAGCTCCCTTCTTTCTTTATTGTGCAATGGTGATTTGCGACCACGACCAGGCTCATATTAGAATTCAGATCACCAGAAGACAATTTGCGGGGAGGGGCAACGACTCATGTTTTTGAATCTGATTTCACTCCACAAACACTGCTGATATTCTGGGTACCTTTGGCAAAATTTGAACTCATGGACGAATATCGCGTTTATTTATCTATGCTTACATAAACTATAAAAGCAAAAGTAAACGTATTAAAAATAGCGAAACAACAATCAAAAGTGAAAACACATTAGACGAAGCTTAAATATATCATATAGATGTACGTATAAACAAAAGATTACTGTACAAGTAAAGCAATCGCAGTAAAGCAACGCAAAACCGGCTACTTATTATCTTCATCCGTATCCCTTCCTCAATCTTCTTCTCCTCCTCCTTCTCCTTCTCCTCCTTCTCCTCATCCTCCACCTTCTTCTTCTTCTTCTTCTTCTTCTTCTTCTTGTTTTTCTTTTTACTTTTTCTTCTTTTTGTTTTTCTTTTTACTTTTATCTTCTTTTTTGTTTTTGTTCGTCTTTTTCTATTTCGGGCTAACTTAAACACTATTAACTAGTTTCTTCCATACTTCTCTGTCAAATGGACACGTTCCCAGTTGACCCACCCGACCAGCGATGTGGTATCAAGACTTAGATTTCATGGGTCATGTTGTGTTTCATTTGTTTTCATACTTACATTGTAAGTACTAGTGGCCGCTCTTCCAATTAGCAATATTTAGCTAACTGGAATTGGATGATCCATGCCGTTGCAGTTGACTGTGTCGCTTATCATCAGTCATCGAACAAGGCATATGAAGTCAATTTACTAATCTGATGTTTACCTAGCTATGCACCTATAGATTGTTTCATTGAGATTTACTTCTCTAGGTGACTAAGGTTTTTCTGGCTCCAACACATGACCTGTCTGGCGAGGTTGGATCTACCAGGATATAAACTCCTGACCAGCATATCTCTACGACTCATGACAGTATGCAAACCACTCTAGCACCTCAAGGTACTTAATCATGTACTGGAAATATTGTTCCAACGTAATAATAATAATAATCGAAAGATTGCTACAAATATTAAAAGGAAGATAAATGTTGTACAGACGAATAAGATGGCGAGACTAAAACTGTCATGCATAAAAATATCGTTTATTCTCCTCTTTATTCTTCAATTTATATTTACGTACTGGGGTGGGCGCTTATATATTTTCCTGTCATCCGCTTATACATCTTCCTGCCATCCGCTTGCTTCTCGCATGCATATTCTAAGTGAAGCTTGTCCAACCACCTTTTTACACGTTGGGAACAGTCACTGACATATTGTGATGCGCGGATCTGCTCTTAATACTTATGAGGACGCCTGCTTGATGACTAAAGTAGTTGGCTTTCTTGAAATTTAGACATCATCCTCGATCACCCGATCCAAAGAAGTATACCAGACCGAATTGTTGTAAACAAGGAAATGACTGCATCTTAGACTGCGTGTGTAGCTGTGCCATTGGATCATGGGGTTAAAATGAAAAAATATATATAAAAAAAACTAGGATCTCGCTTTGGATATATGTTTTGTTTCAAAAATTCGCACAGATAAACTCAAGAGAGGAGTGAGACAACGAGGAAAGGACAACACATGTTCTGGACATTTGAGGATATTTGCTGTTACTTAACCTTTATTGAAAACCGTCTAGTATGAAGGTGAAAAGGTATAAAATGCATTAGCACAAGTCGTAGCGTTACTTCTAATACAACTATTAATAATAGTCCTTTTATGAGCGTTTTTGTCATCAATATCGTCCGTGAAAAAAGTTTTATCGCCTTCGCTATGAATAAGAAACACGAAGGCGTCTCCTTAGCAAGAAAACGGCAAAACCTTGAATAAATTATATAAGCCAAATTTATATTAACTATTCGCCACCCAGGATAAAAAAGGGAATAATCCTGATATTATTACTTTAGGGAGGAGGAGGAGGAGGTCTTAATGAACGATTGACTAATGTAGCTGCTTTGTAAAAGTAGCAGAACTATGAATCCATTGAGACACCAAGATTGTATCTGAAATTAACTGAATAATGTATCAATATAATGAATAATAATGAGAATTGTATGCCTGCTGGTTAAGGTAGTTGCGTATTTGCTACCGTTCTACTAAATAAAATATTGATGTTTTATTAAATGTTTTATTATTTACACTTAATATTTCTTTTAGTGAAAAGAACATATAATTACTTATAATAATAATAATAATAAGAAGAAGAAGAAGAAGGAGCAGGAGGAGGAGGAGAATAAAGAGGAAGATCGAGCAGAAGAAGAAGAAGGAGGAGGAGGAGGGGGAAGAAATTGAAGTAGGAGGAGTAGAAGAAGAAGTAGGAAAAGAAGATGGAGCAGAAGAAGAAGGATGAGGAGAAGAAGTTGGAGAAGAAGACAGGACATAAAATAAAGGAGGAGCTGGTGCCGCAGAAGGGGAAGAAGAAGAAGGAAGAGAAGACGACGACGAAGAAGAAGATGGGGCAGAAAATGAAGAAGGGGAGGAGCAGTAAAAGAAGAAGAAGAAGACGAAGAAAGAGGAGGAGAAAAAATTTTTTTCGTAAGTGCGTAGGATTTCACAACTGTATCTGAGGTTAATTTAGAAGTATTTTTAAGAGGACTCTTCCCCTAATTAGTTTACATGGACTTAATCTGCAGTCATGATGTCAGAATGGGGTTGTAACTAAAATTCCAATATGGTTGCGTTAAGAAAATTTGAAAATGGAAACTGGGTTTCTATAACCAGAGCAATTCTTTAAGGATCAAGAGCGAGAGACTAGTGAATGTCGGCAATAGAGATTAGACAGTAAATCAGATAATAAGCGAATACAGCATGTTGGCTCAAATGGCAAAGGCAAATATAACTGGATAGGAACGGTGACCAACTAGAAATTGTGCAAACAAGTGAACCATGCAAACTAAGTTCTGTTGTAGAGAATAAAATTATTTGCAACTTTGAAATTCAAACGAATAACACAGATGAGATTTAGTGATTGGGAAGAATAGAAAGATTTCCAGATAGTAGAGATCGCTGTTGCATCACACTGCAGAGTCAGATTGAAAGAAAGACAAAAAAAATAAGGCAAGAGTTGTTCAACTACAGCCACAAATGGAGCGATCCAGTAAAGCCTAACAAAGTTACTTGAAAAAATATGATATCTGTGAAAGAATCGAAATCATCCAAACAATATTACTAAAATCAGCAAAAACGCTGATGGGCAGTGTTAGAGTACTCAGGAAACTTGCTGTCACTTCATCTCTAGTGAAAGATATCTGGTATTACTGGTATGGACACATATTATTATTATTATTATTATTATTATTATTATTATTATTATTATTGTAAGTCATTAGGCAGAGAATAAAGAATTATCATAGCCATTTTTAAGTAAAAGAACTAAATATATTAAGTTCAGGATGCGACAACCATTATATGAGAATCAATGCCCTCCAAACGAATTATAATTTTCTCCTTCCTCTTTTTCTCTCTGCGCACGCGCGTGTAATATATTCATGTCCATGTCCATCCGACATAGTCTTTCCGGTTTATTCAGTCCCATCTTTAATGGCCATTTATGTGATTCAAATTCTTCCCATCATTATTATTATCATTATTTTGCTAACCAAAGAAAAATGTTTCGACCATAATTTAAGGTCTATTTCCTTGATGATGTGTGGTCACGTTTTGTAGAGGTTCCTCAAGTTAAAAAAAATATTAAGGCAAATTATTTTTGAGGCTCATTAACGCACACACACACACACACACACACATATATATATATATGTGTATATATATATATATATATATATATATATATATATACGAAAAGCTAGTGAAATATTCTTAGCTCGATCTGCTCACCTAATATGGCCTAATGACCAAATATCAGATTTCATAGAGTTCCGAAAATTTTTCAAGACTGTATATATATATATATATATATATGTGCATGCGTGTGTGTGCGTGTGAGAGAGAGAGAGAGATAGATAGATCCCTGTGACAGATTTCCACTTCCACGTTAAGACGCTTGAAAAGACACAGTTAAAATTTGACGCAGGCCGCACATGAGGTCATCTGTCCTTTTATGCTATAAAACCGGGTTCTCAAATTCCTGGCGTATTGTGCTCACATACATACGTACGCACGCGCGGGTGCATACATACAACGTATGAAGACAGCATGTTCTGTCCACGATGTCATATTTGTCTTTTGTCTTTGATGACTTTTAAGGCCAAATTGAGACCCATACAACATTCCACATATAGGACAAGGAACAACACCCTTTGTGAAGACTGCAGGAATGTTAGCACGGTATTCAATCTTTTACCTTATAATGGCTTTTATACACACACTCCTCCATTTGACACAATCCGAAGCTGACCAAAGAACGACAGTGAGATGTCTATTGACATTAGTTTTGGCTTCCTCATATCTAATAGCGAAGATGCATATAAGCAATTTCAGATTTTATAATTAACCCAACAGCACATTTGTGCCGTTTGTAATTGTCCTTACCCGACCAGGAAATATCTATGACAAGAATCATAATACGATAAGTGCCTTATTGTATTATAACTCTCACCATGGAAGAGATGACAGTTATCAAACAATTTTACATCTTATAATTAACACAACATCAGATTTGTGCTATCATGATCATTACCTGACCAGAAAGTATCTATGATGAAACTCATATTACGATCAGTGATGAGCTTCGGAAGAGATGGCAGTGATCAAACAATTTCAGATCATATAATGAATCCAACATCTGTTCTATATATTCCTTATTTGACCAGAAAATTGTTTGGCTCTCTCCAATTTCCAGAAAGTTTTGTTTCATTAACAGCATCTACGTTATACCAAATTATGGTGATAAAAATTATGGCAATTTTACTTTCTGGGTTCAAATTGTTGTCCGCGAGTGTTCTGTCATTCCAGAATTGAAAGGTTTATGTTTAATTGACATGTCCCGACTGCAATATAGAATAACTAAACAGCCGTTGTTGATTGCCAAGTTGTGGATTTACCAAACAATCTTTAGAAGTTGCTTTCTCTCCACCTACGTGATTTGGGAAAAGCAATGGTACACCTTAACAAGCCCGCTTTGTCATCATAAGTGGACACTGACAAAACTCATCACATGAACACCTACGTAAGGCGTCACCTAGGGACCATCAACAATATTTTTTGCCTGTCGCCGCCATCTTTATTTTCTTTGGAAATTATGATAACAAATGCTGTGAGCAAGAATTTATCAAGGACCAAAGTAACAGGATCAAACTTTTCTTAAAAATGTTTTCCATCTCCAAGACAAAATGCCAATATAACTATGGAGGCCAGGCTACATCAGTAGGCTTAACGCAAGCATGAGCACTAACCCAAGTATTTCTAGTTCCCTACCAATTTTGTGTTACCCTGCAAGAAGCTTCGTCTGCCCTTTGACAGATCTTATTTTACTTCCCGCTAGGTATTTAGCTACCCTCCACGTTAGAAATACCTGGCGGGGAAATCGGTTTAGCTGCCAATGACAGATACACATACACATATATATATATATATATGCATATATATATATATATATATATATATATATATATATATATATATATATATATATATAATATTTTTCTGAATCATACGATAGATGCATAAAGATGGCAAGATACTTCAGCTATGTATCTAGCGATTCTTGACAAAATCCAAAGAATTATGTGCAATGTTATCGGTCCTGATGTAGCATCTTGGCTTCAATCATTTTTCCACCGCTCCACCGTAACGTAGATTTCCTGTACATTTCCATTGCAAATTTTCCGATGATCTTTACTCTTTGATATCTCGACTTGATCAAGTTAAGCGTAGCACTAGATTGGCAGATAGGTCTCATAATTTTGCTGTTGAAATTGATGAATTGAACCATAGGTTCTATTCTAATAGTTTCCTCACTTTTTGCTTCTTGCTTATCATCTAAAATTGAAATGCAACGCCACTCGTCTTCATTTGTCTCTCTGTATTTGGATCTTTTATCATAGACCTATCTCTTCATTAACGTTTTCAACATTTTCTACATTCTCAGTAACCCTTTCTGTCGTAGTAGCTTTATCTGCTTAGTTGGAGCGAAATAAAATACATATATATATATATATATATATATAATACCAAAATGTAATTGGTAGGGATTTTGACTGTATGTTTAATTTTTTTGTAATTATTCATTCATATATATATATATATATATTCCTTGATAAATACCTAAAATGCGTCGGCTAAGAATATTTTTCCCATTTGCCTTTTTATTAATTTTCTTTCCTCCGTCATTTGCGTTGTCCCTCAGAGGACGAAACGTGTCGACTAAGATATGTTTTACTTTTGTCTTTATTCATATTGTCATTTTACAGATATATTCTATTTAAAATTATTGTACACACACACATATATATATATATATATATATATATATATATATATATATATATATATATATATGGAAGAAATATTTGCTGAAATATTAATATAGATAATTAATATTAATAGAGAAAGTTCGCCAAAGAACGCATGGCCACGAAAGAATATTTTAAAATAAACAAATTTGTGTAAAATAAATGCTTGTTATTATTAAGCTATAATTATTGATTCTCTAACGCACGCACACACACATACATACAAACACGCACACACGCACACACACATACATACAAACACGCACACACGCACACATATATATTGTTGTGGAAAGAAAAGAAGCAGTGGTTAGTAAGTAAATTATTGACATATGTGTATTATTTACTTGAATGATAGAAGGGTTAGATAGAAAGGAAAAAAGAAAGAATAAATGAATAAAAATACACAATGAGATGGACTGGGTCGATAGAAAGAAAGAAAGAAAGAAAGAAAGAAAGAAAGAAAGAAAGAAAGAAAAAGAAACAGAACGAGATAGATTGATTTAATAGAAAGAAAGAAAGAAATATATAATCAAAAAAGAAGAAAAAGAAACAAATCGAGATAGATTCATTCGATAGAAAGAAAAAAAGAAAAAAAGAAAGAATCTATGAATAAAAAGAAAAAGAACGAGATACATTGATTTGATTGAAAGAAATAATAAAAAATACTACTGGCAGCAAAAAAAAAAAAACATTACGTATCAAAATGGGGAATAAGAAAGTTTCACTTTGAGGTGATAAATAAAAGGGACTTTTTATTCATGACCAAAAATCTAATATTTTCTGCTCCCTAATATCACTTTATTTCCTTCAATTTACTCGACACAAACATACCGCCACCCTGTTTGACGAATATTGAAATCACCGCCTCCCTATCAACGCCTGTCGGACTTGTCTTATTCTACGGATATACAAATACATTAGCAAAGTATTTCTGTCGGGGTTGACGGAGGAGTAAACGAAAGGCAATCAATCGGGCCGAGCGTCAATTAAATTGACATCCAACAAAACCTGAATCGTTCAGTTCCTTAGCAATACAAAATCTTCTCTAATCCTTTGTATAACAAAACAGACAAAGCCTTAATGCCCCGTACGTGAAATATCAATGATCACATTTTCCGACCTCTTTCCTTCTTTCTTTCCTTCCTTCGATATCTTTTTTTTTTCTCTCTTTACCCTCTTTTATTCATTTTTCCAATTTATTCATTCGTTATTTCGGTCTTTCTCTGTTTCTATAGATTTGCTTCTTTTTCTTTATATTTTACTTTCTAATTGCTTCTTTCTTATTATTTCTAACTTTCACTCGCTTTTATCGTCCTTGTCATCTTTTTTCCTTCTTTCTTTCCTTCTTTCTTTCCTTCACTTTTATTATAAGCCTCTATTTTCTCTTTTCTTAGGTCCATTTTTGATTTCTTTTATTTTTTTCTTATTCTTTGCTTCGTTTTTCTGGGTTTCTTCTTCCATTTTCTTTCTTTTGTTATTTTAGTTTTCCTGTTCTCTATTTATTCTTTCATTCATTTTTTTCTTTTCATTTTTCTTCTTCTTTCTGTCATTCTTCTTCGTAATAGCTTTTTTGTTAACTTACATGGAAATAAAACTGGAAAACGAAGAATGGCTAAAATTCAATGACGTCTGTTGGATAACCTGCGAAGCCAAATCGGTAATGTGATATATCGGTTCAATCGGCACCCAACGAATACAAATTTTGTCGGAAGCGCATTTTCAGTTCATAGTCAATGTAATTTTAAAGGTCATTGTGTCTTTGAAAAGATTTTTAAAAAAGCACAAGCGTGTCGCAATGCAAAAGCAAAACAGCGTGTGTGTGTGAGAGAGAGAGAGAGAAAGAGAGAGAGTGTGTGTGTGAGAGAGAGAGAAAGAGAGAGAGTGTGTGTGGGAGAGAGAGAAAGAGAGAGTGTGTGTGAGAGAGAGAGAGAAAGAGAGAGAGTGTGTGGGGGAGAGAGAGAGAAAGAGAGAGAGTGTGTGTGTGAGAGAGAGAGAAAGAGAGAGTGTGTGTGTGTGTGAGAGAGAGAGAGAGAGAGAGAGTGTGTGTGGGAGAGAGAGAGAAAGAGAGAGAGTGTGTGTGTGTGAGAGAGAGAGAAAGAGAGAGAGTGTGTGTGGGGGAGAGAGAGAGAAAGAGAGAGTGTGTGTGTGTGAGAGAGAGAGAGAAAGAGAGAGAGTGTGTGTGTGGGAGAGAGAGAGAAAGAGGGAGTGTGTGTGTGGGAGAGAGAAAGAGAGAGAGTGTATGTGAGAGAGAGAGAGAGAGAAAGATATAGTGCTGTTAAAGTTGAAGAAATGGCTTCAAATCTGAAATCAAACCATTACACTGTTTAATATTATCTACAACAACTTGGAAATTTGTCAAAACCTGGGTAAGTAATTCCTTGTTTTTTGCGAGTATTGTGGTGTCTTTCCTCTAAAGAGTCTATGTTGATCTCTTACGCCTACTAAAAGATTAGTAGGAGAGAAGGCCTTGGGGAAACAGTCGAATACTCTTCTGTTGTACTTAGTGTTTAATATATGATATATCTGTAACACTCGTTTTGTTATTTCTTGGTCACAACAGAGAGAAACTAACCATAAAACAAAAATGGACATTTTTACATCTCTGCAATCTTATGAAGCTATTTTGTCATGCTATTTTTTGTCTAATTAATAAATGCGTGTGAAAAATATATACTTTGCAAAAATATCCGCCAATGAAGACAATGGATTAGTTAGAAGCAAACGGAGAAAAACACAAACTCAAAATTTTCCCATGAGTATTTACTGGGATTGTGTTAGTGTGACTCACTTTGTGAGCAATCATTGTCAACGTGTCTAGCATACATCTACTGTTTAAATACTGTTTTGAAGGGACGTGGCTTGAGCAAATTGCAAAGGGATGCCGTTCCATTATGATCAAGCATAGACTCATACAACAAAAACCAAATTTGAAAATATTGAAACCTATGCTGGGTAAAAAGTATACACTCTCCTTGTTTTCCCCATTTGCAGACTAAAATAAATATTAGAAGTTGGTGTAATATTAAATAAAGACAAGCAGAAGTGTGTTCTGGGATACGGGTAGAGTTCATCAAGTGAAAATTGAAAGGAAGAACATTCAATATATCTATTGAAGGATTTTATTCGCCAATTTCACAGAGCACAGAAAATAGATAAATTCTATAACAGAGAGGATAATACCAAAAGCCAATGCAAATCACAGGGAATTGTCATCGTCACATGTAAAATAAACAAAATAATGAAGGAGTGGACAAATTACTGCTCCGTGGAACAAACTCCCAAGAGAATGTTTCCTCGATCACTACAATTTTAAGCTGTTCAAGTGTAGAGTTAACCGTTATCTCTCGCCTCCTAATTATATAAACTACCCCTTAGCGTAATCCTCTACTTCGAGTGGCCCCAGAGCTTTGTACAGGGTGAAACTTACTGTAAAAATATATGGACTTGGATCGCGCAACGCAAGCGTTGATAAATAGGTCCCATCGTACACAACGAACTATCAAGTAAGGACCAACACCTGGTCTCAAAGACATCTAAGGTATATGTGGACAAGAAAAAGCACAGGAGGAGACATCTAGAATCAGATAGACTAACAATCAGTAAAATTTAAGAAACTCTACACTCTAATACATAATAAAATGTTGACTGTGAGAGCGATCACCTCCTAATCATATACAAACTAAAGATAAAATTACAAAAATTAAAGAAACCTAAACTACAAATCAATATATTCTAAAACAACTAAAGCGGCAAATGATTTATTGACGGATATTTGCTAATGTAGTTAAGGACAGATAGAAACGCTTCGAAGAGATTGTTAATGCAAAGAAAAGCACTAATAACATATTCAAAAGAAGTCATTCCGATGAAAATGGATAAAAAAAATTTAAAAAAAAAACATATGAAGCAACGACTGGAAGAGAATATAGGTTGTTAAACAAATATATTAGGAATAGATGCAAGCAAGTAAAATATGAATGTCTCCCAGAGAAATATGCAAAGATAAAAAACCTCACGGAACACAGACACAGAAGGCTGACATAAAATAGACGATGAAACATGCTATATATATATATATATATATATATATGGAACGAATACATGGATGAAGATAACAGAAGAGTAAAACTTATAATACATAAAAACATAAAAGTACCTGTAGTACTAAAATCTGAAGTAAGATCGGCATTGGCCCAGATAAACAGAAAAAAAAGCACCAAGGTCAGATGGGACTGCCTTAGACATTATGCCAGCATTAGATGATTTCAGGATTGTTACTGAAATAATAAATGAAATATATGACAACGGCGAAATACCGGATGGTCTTACTTAGATCTATATTTAAAGTGATGCCAAAGAAGCCAGAAGCAAATGAATGCAAACTCCACCGAGCAATCAGCTTAATGAGCCAAATTACTAATCTTATCATTAAGATTCTCGAAACAGAATTAGATCGGAAATATTGTGACTTTGTTCAAGACGCAAGAATTTTTTTCTATTTTTCTTATCTGAATGCTATCAGAGTGAGCAATAGAAATCCAAAATCGCCTATGCTTTGTTTCAGAAGTTGCGCAAAAGTATGAGAACAGTTTGTTTTACCCGGGAAAGATAGTCGGATAATGCGTAACTTCTACAGAAAGAAAACAGCTTACATGTTGGCAGAGATGTTCCTGCTGCTATATATTTAGAGATTCTTGATAAAATCCATAGCGTTGTTGGTCCTGAGTTGGCATTTCGGCTTCAGTTCTTTTCCTGCCTTTGTAGCGTAGCTTCCCTATGCCTTTTCTATAAATACTTTTATGTTAATTGTTATCCTCCATGATAACTAGTCTTTTCAATACTACATTGGCAACAAGGTCTCATCATTTTATAGTTGAAATGGTTGATGTAAAAGTCGTTAGCTGTTTTACTAATTTTTACTGGAATTTCCACAATAAAAATCAATACCTCTTCTTATTTCTATCCAATATAATGTAATTAAGTAAGTGCTTTTTCGATTCGATATCAAACTTTGCAGTGTTTAAATCTTTGGCAAATTATCGATCTGTATCGAAAGTTATGACAATAATAATATTTTATTTGATAAGTCATTAAAACATTTTTGCAAATTATGAACTCGCAGAAAATTTGACTACAGTAGAACATGCAGATTAAAGGTGAGAAACTTGGTTTTATTTTTCATAAATTTACTTTTGACGCAAGAAACGAGAATAAAAAATTGCTTAAAAAGTCAAAAGTTCGCTCTAAAAATACATGCCTGCTAAGACGTAATTAGCATTAATAAAATAAAAATTAAAAAAAAAAACAATAATGTGCAGTGTTAGTTTGGATCTTTTCTGCCAATTCACCCAAAAATATTAATTCACCCCAAAATAAAAGGAATTTATATTTACTAAAAGTCACACCAAATTCTCCTAGAGCGATTGGGTTGACCTTTGCGATCGTGCCAAATGTAGGCGACTCGAGTGATGTATTTCTAAGTGTGGGGTCTACATTCGCGCTCACCCCGATAAACAAGCCAAATACTTTTTTTTATCTAAATTGTATCATTATCATTGCAATATTTTTACATTTTATCAAGTATTAAAAATATAGTAACTAGGCTCTGCAAATTGGAGGAGAAAGTTATCAATGATAATTTTCTGACTTCGAATCCGCAGTTATCTCCCCTTAATCCTCTCTTTGAACTTTCTTTGCCTTAGGGTTGCTTGTGCCTTTTCATCGAGACTTTTTCATTCTGAAAGTGCATAGCAGAGAAAAGAGTTTGGGATACCTGGTCAACATGGAAAACAATTATAGATATCCTGGATTTTTCATAAATATGTCCACTGTTTTTTCATATTGCATAAGAAGCTGAATATATTATTTGGTTCTTTCTTTTTTTGTTTAAAATCTTAAACATTTCTATATTTTCAAGGGTAATAATTAGCAAATAAATAAAATGAAACTACTTTGTTGAACCAATGTACTCGACGTCCCCTTTAAAACTAGTTTCAATGTACAATCTTAAGTAATTCCACGTCTTACCCAATCCTTCTCTGACCTTCGTTACGGCTAAAGAAATAAGACATTGAGATGACAATCTGGATAAAATAAAAGTTGTCTTTGAAGTATTCTTTTTTCACCTGTGACATTTCTATGTATGTATTTATCTACTTAGCGACGGGATGGAAGGCGGTGGGGTGCGGGAACTGACCGTTCATCTTTGAGACACGACACCATTAGCACTTTCGCTCTCACAAACGCCCACACTTGTACGCTTGCAGAACTAGAAGCTAAATGTCAATTTCAACACTTCGACGTCGGATTGTTTATAAAGATTTAACAAAGTAGGTGGTTTGAATTGAAACAAGGCGCAAGATCTCACATTGTTTGGTTGTTATATATATATATATATATATATATATATATATATATATATATATATATATATATACTAATGATCTGGAGGAGCTTTGTCAAGTCCAAGAAGAAATGCATAAATAAAAATGAATCATACCGTTACTGTTTCGTCTCCCAAAAAAATAAATAAATAAAAATTAATTATACTGTCAAAAATAATTATAATAAAATAATTATAACAATTATAATTATCATTACTTAACTCATTTTAAATCTATGAGAACCGATCCCACTTTTCTACTCTACACACACAAACACGTGACATTCTCACTATCGGACAAGCAGTCAATATGGACAGGCCGACAATACGCGCGGCAACAAAAATTTCGACTCCTTTTGCTTTTTCATGTCATAATAGTAATAATTATCTTTCAACACTCAAAAACTCGAGGTAAGAAAACCTCAGATACTTATTGCATTTTCCAACTAAATTATCTGGACATTCATTACAAACATCTATAAAAAAAAAATACGAAAAATCCTGCATTCACTTTACTTATTCTTTATCTTTTCATTCTGTCGGGTTCCGATCTACATTTGACCCCAAACTTACAATTTTACTCAGTATTACTGTCTCTCGTGTCGCCAACATCGCATCACAACGAGATCATAAATAAAAGTCGTTTTCTTGTTTCCAGCTCGAGCTCTGTCTCATTTTTACGAGTATTTTTGTAGATATAAATGTCAGGGAACTTATAATTATTTACGCGTAATTAAAACTCCCCAACAATATATATATATGCACATCATATAATAATATTCGATCTATCTGATAAATATTCAAAAGTTAATTATAATAACAAGAAAGGCGATTGTAAAGGCTGCAAATAAAGTAATTGCTACATTTGAAATCCAAAATGAAATATTAAAGAAATTATTTTATTAACAAATTAAGCAATAAACACAATTACTGTTTCTCAACTTATAAATAATCATTGTCAAGGAAAATTTGCGGTATTTCATGAAAACTTCCAATAACATAATGATACTCTTTCAAGTGTTCTAGAAGAAGAAAAAATGACCTCTTTCGTTACAAGATTTTGAATTGGGTACACTTGACTGAAATATCTCTTATGGCGGCTTTAAACAAGTTGAAACAAATGGTGGTTACATTTTGCACATTAATTGAATATCTCTAAGAAAATTACATTGTATTTTTTTATAGAGGTAGGTAGTCATATGATAGCAGTATGCAATGGTATTGGTAGGTGGCACCATCGTATCTTGATGCCATGGAAATAGCCAGATCATTTGCGCTCTAACATCTGGCGAGTCCAGGTTAAGCTGCTCCTTGACAAGGTGACGAAGGTCATCTGAATTTGTATGAGGTATGGCTGTCTGATGTAGGTGCATTTTTTCCCCAAGTGTGTGTGTGTTGTGCTAATAACATAATATAATAAGAAAAGCAAGAACCAGACTGAACACGATCAACACCCCAAGACCCCAACCATGGAATAGGCAAAAATCTACACAATCTCAATGAGCAAACAGGCGGAAGAGG